GTGCTTTGGAGTACTTAATTTTGACCACAACTTGAAGCATTAAATACACTTCCTTTATGCCTGAAAAGCAATGACAGCTCTTTAGTTTTCTTTGAAACTGTAAGATATGTAACCTTTTTCAAAGTGTGGGCATACTTTGTGTACTGTTACTGTGCACTTAACGCTGCCTAATGGGTGAGTGTGTGTGACTCAGGACTGCTCGTTTGGCTTTTGAGTACTTTTATGTGTAGTTCTGCCCTCTTAGACAAAGCTTTCTCTATTTCAGCAGCAAAAGTTCTGCTCTGTGTCAGCCTCGATGATTGGCCTAATGGGTGAGTGTGTGTGACTCAGGACTGCTCGTTTGGCTTTTGAGTACTTTTATGTGTAGTTCTGCCCTCTTAGACAAAGCTTTCTCTATTTCAGCAGCAAAAGTTCTGCTCTGTGTCAGCCTCGATGATTGAATATAACCAGTTATTTCACTTGTAGATGTATTGATCTGCCATGAGAAGGGAAGAATAAAGACAGCACTATGCTTTTTAATTTCTTGGGAGCTTGATGTGAATAGCAGGCGTTGCTGTTCCCATCCAGAGAATGCTAAAATTGGATATAAGCTGCAATCCTGGCATTCTGAGAATCCAGGACTCCTTTTGTCAACAGGCTTCAGATTCAGAGTTTCCCTCTGGTCTGTTGGATCTTTACATTTCTACCTGCACAGAAGCACAGGTTCAGTGAGAGGAATAAAAAATAGTGCATCCAAGGGTGGCTGTTTTTTCTAGGCACTAGTCATCTGCCCGCCTCTTCTTTGGAAAAGTGGGTTAAGATGGAGTAAAAATCCTGTCAGATTCAAGAGGCATAAGTAACCCTCTTACTGTTATGTGAAAATAGAGATTACTGCACTACTGTTTCTAATAAATCAGAGGGAAACTGTGCATTCTTGCTCAGTTTTCCAAACAAGGTACTGCAAAGCATTGATTCCCACACAGACTTAGGTCTTGCTGAAATCTGTGGAGAAGTTTGTGGCAAAGTCCTGAAACTTTTTGGTGTGTCAGAATTGCTTTCTGATACTTCAGCTCCTGAAATCCACCTAATTTGATGGATAGTCTAAATATTGCCTGTTTTCTCCCAGTTGTTTGAAAACTAAGTAGCCTGCTCAGGATTGTGTATAGAACCAGCCTTAATCAGACCAAGTTCTTGGAAGGAATGCCACTTAAATTAGCTTAAATTTGATTTAATAATAATAATCTTGTTTAAATTCTTTTCCTGGTTACTGGATTTTTTTTTCCCTTAAATTAGCTTAAATTTGATTTAATAATAATAATTTTGTTTAAATTCTTTTCCTGGTTGCTGGATTTTTTTTTTCGTTTTGTAAACTTATCTTTATTTAGCTGTGGGTACAAAATACAAATTGTTGACTCTCTCATTTGGATGTTTAGATGACTTTGTTTTTCCTGGTTGAAAAATATTCACCACCCCATTACTTCCTTGATCACTAATATGGCCATAAAAAGAAATATTTTTCTTGTTGCTGATTCTTGTCTGTCTTTGGAGGTTTTCCAAGGAGAATCGTTTCTGCTGTTTAGGATGTAGAAGAATGTTGAGAGGACTCTATTAATATTCAAAGTGTACTACTATGGAGCTCTTAACTGCTACTTGATTCTAATTTCCATAGTGTTGCAGCTGAACTATAGATATTGGACGTGTATTGGTAATTCATTTTGATTGGATCAAGCAAGAAGATTTTGGAAACTTTAAAGTACATAATATACTGCCTGGGGCAGTTTAGATGACCAGATGTTGTGAGGTACAGATCAGTTGAGTGTATGTGGCACTTGGAGTTTGAAATAACCAAACATTTTAGCTAACATGGAACCTTTCTTTTGTTTGTGGTCTTTTTGCTATTTATGTTTTGGTAGCTGTCGCTCTTTTGATCCTGTGCCTGTTCCTGCTCCCAAAACCCTGGTATTTCAGGTAGTCAGTGTGATAGTCAAGGCTCTGAGGAATTTTTCAGACTAATTTTTCATAATCAAAATATAAGGCGAGTTCACTCCACCTTTACTCTTCTCCCTCCAGGAAGAAAGGCCACCTCTTCTGTTAGGGTTGATGGAATACCCCCTCTTCAAAGGGTTTTGTAATGGATTTGGAGTAGGTGGTGTGCAAATATTTAAATGTGTGTGCTTTTTATTAAAAAAAAAAAAAAGCCTTTCATGCTTGAGTAAGTCAAGACTATTGAATTAGTCTTGCTAGATCTTCAGAGTATTAAAGTTAGGATTGTGCCTTCAACTGTATCTCTCATATCTCCAGACTTCAGTGTTTTCATGTGATACAAATGAATCTTTAACACCCAAATGAATCCTTAATGCTTCCAAACTGTGCTTAAGACACATAGGAGCAACCTGCTCTAGTGGGAGATGTTCCTGCCCGTGGCAGGGGGGTGGAGCTCCATGATCTTTAAGGTCCCTTCCAACCCAAACCATCCTATGACTCTACATGCCTTCTAGACTGTGTACTTTGGAATTCCAGTCATCTGCTGGAATTGGAAGGTGGCTGTGGATACAGTTGAAGCAGAAATACCATTTTCTGCCAGTGTGGTAAATAAAAGGAAACCACCCTTTTTTCTTTTTTTTTTTTTTTAACCTATTTTTTTTCCTTTTTTAATTTTTTATAATTAAAACAATTCAGTACTAAAGAATTCTCTTTTACTGTCCTTAGATGAGTGGCAGTGGCTTTTGGTGACTTGCATCCTTCTTTCAGCAGCTTATGATGAGGGGGCTGTAGTTACCTCTGCAAATCCGCAGAGACTAACGGTTATATATGCACTTGTCATCTTTATTTTGAAGTATTTTAATGAGCCCTGATTAGAGATACTTTGAAACTACATTAGGAAACTCTAGGGAGAAACACCACTTTTATCTCTTCTCAGAGATGATAGGTGGCTGTGAACACATGTGGCCTGAGAAGTGTAGTGCTTTCATTTATCGCTGCTTGCTTGTGTTTTACTATCTCTTAAGCATAAAACTGTCCTGGAGTCTCCAGTCATTACTGCTGAAGATTAAGCATCCTGTCCAGCATCAGAGCTTTCCCAGTTACACAGTGTAATCTGCTCAAATTCCATGAAACAGGGTAGTGACCTTCAGATAAAGAACTAAGGTCTGCACTGGTTTTGTTTTAGCATTTGGCTTGTGGGCTTTCTTTTTTCTGAAAGGTATAACCTCATTTTGTATGAAGTATTTAATGGGCTCAAATATCAGCTCGTCAAGACTTCGAATATGTACAAATTTGAGAGGGACTGTCGCCGCCTTGTTAGTCAACTGTTTAGTTAAAAAATGTTGTCTTTTTACCCAAGCCTTATTGTTAAAGTATTAATTAACCGAGCTACTGTGTCTGATCTGTCAATTAAGTTAGGTTTTTGCTTTTCCCTGAGAGGCTGTTACTGAACTTTAGAGGGGTTTATGAACAGAACAGCAGGTATTGACATCCGTGTAAAGAAATGAAGTGTGTGTTAATAAACCAGTAGGGGGCATTCCAGCTCAGTTTCTGGTGTGCCTCTTACATTTTATGAAGGGTGTGCACTTTGTTGGCAAAGTGCACCTTGGTTTAAAAGGGTTGGTTTTTTTTTTTGTGTTGTAAATATCTGCACTTCATTCAAATTGGCAAGATAATGCCAGAAAGCATTAGGCTTACTATTAAAGGGCTCTTTGACATTGAGGAGGAAGAGCCTTCATTTTGCCATGCTTACATTATTTCTATATGCTGATCAATACAGGACATGAGTATTGTATTGTCTCTGCTGCTTTAAAACCTACTCAGTACAGTTGTGCTGAAAACTTACAAATCAAAGACCAAGTTAAATATCTCCAGACTTGTTCCAGGATCTGGCCAAAATTGATGATTCCTAAAAGGGAGTCTGCTTTTCTTTTTACTAATTACAGTTTAAAGCAGTAATTTTAATAGAGCCTTTAGGATAACCTGTTCTCTGAGATTTCTTGAGGGTCTTAAGCATCACTTCACCTTCAGGCTGGTGGATTTTTTGTGATGAGGGAGGTCTGGCCTCTTTTCTCAGAGGATGTTGGAGCTATTTTTGGCTTTTGCCTAGTCTTGCTTCTTGTCATGATGACTTGATTCTCCCTTCAGTAGTTCAGCTGGAGCATCAACAGTTGGGAATCGTGCCTCTGAGTTCTGCCAGTGGAGGCTCCCTTGTAATTTTGAAGTCGAATTTAATGAATTGTATTATTCATTAACCTAAATTTCTGTGCATTTTAATTTTCATTAAATCTTGTCATAACTATAGGTCACCTAGCTAACTTGAATATAGTTGCTTTAAAATGAAATGGAATTATAAAGGATTGAGCTGTGGTGAACTGTTTTTAATGGTAGGCGAGTCACAAAATGAGCAAATACTGTAGAAAATACGGAGGTAAAAAGGGCATGAAAAATCTCTTGAGAATATTTCACTGACTTTTCTTAAGCTTAAATGGGCTGTCCATTAATTTTAAAGGAAAATCTGAAACCCTGGATGGAGAGGTTTGGTTTTGAGCATCTATGTTTATACTGTAAAGGTGTTTGTTCTCATTAGGTACAATGAAGCAAATCTTCCATATAATTGCATTAGTGATATGTGACATTAAAGCTTAATTGGCTTATTTTAACTATCTTGCACATCAATTTCTTTTAGATTGTGAAAATTGAAAAGGTCATGAGTGCAGTTTAATATTCCAGGGTGAGAGATTTCAATTTTAGTACAATTTGTAGAGAATTAATTAGGAAACATGACTAAAAGAAAAAGGATGTTGAATGCAAATTAGGCTGTTCATTAGAGTATAGAAGCTGAAGCATCTTGAAGTATTGCGAAAATTCGATTGCAAATTCAGCAAGCACCTTGATTGATTATTTTTTTTTAATTATTTTTATTGTAGTTGTTCTTCAGGGTATAAATGTAATGTAATTGTCGTAAGGCACTCTAAAATAAAATGTGCTGCCTTTGTCACGGAGTTCTCTTTTAACCAGGCTTTTTTGTTTTGCAGGAGATTGATGAAGCCTGCAAGAGGATAAAACGGGAAATCGATGATTTAGGCCCTGAAGTTGGGGACATCAAAATCATTCCATTGTACTCCACCCTTCCTCCGCAGCAACAGCAAAGGATCTTTGAACCTCCCCCACCAAAAAAACAAAATGGAGCAATAGGAAGAAAGGTAAGTAGGACACTGTTTTAGTGTGCTCTTCAGAAACTGCCTACTCCACAGTTGTGTGGGCAGCTTCAGCCGTTTTCAATGTATTTGGACAGCAACAAATAGAAAGGTTTGATTTTTTTAAGACTTAATAATCCAGGATTTTAGCGCATTAACATTTTTTTAAGATAACTTGGAGTTTGTTTCTTAGTGAAATTAAAAATTCTGGCTTCTATCTCTAAGGCCAGAATGTTCTAGTAACAATTTGATTTGAGTGAATGGGAGTGGCATTCATTGAAGTTTCTTATGAGAAATGCAGCAAGTCAGATTAAATACTGAATTTGACAACCCCATGATTTATGGAAAGGGATGGGATTTTTTTTCCCCCTAAGCTATTACTCTGAAACATCTTTTTTTGAATGCAAAATGGACTATCCCTTCAAGGGATATTATCAAGCAGGTTTTGTCTGTTTCTCAAGGTTTTTGAGAAGGTGCAAGTGAAGATGAGTGTGTTGAAGTTAGAGGTTTGTGTTTTCTGTATTAGCAAGCAAGGAATTGAGGTTCTTTCTTTTGTGCAAAATAGATTGAGAAAATGAAAAACTGGAGATGGCACTAGTGAATATTCCTCATAAAATTAATAGTTCAATTCCTGAGTGCTCACATAAACCACTTTAGAAGCTGTGTGGTGATCCCTTTAAAACAGAACATTGGGAAGGAGTCTTAATAGAGCTTCCTGAAGTTAATCTAATGCCATCTGAAACTGTAGCCATCACAAAGTTGAGGTTTTGAAGGTCAAGGCTGAATCATAGGACCTGCTCTAGGCAGGGTTTGTTCCTTGGATATTTGCTTTTTTGTGCTGCACAATGCATGTAGAATACTAGTGACAACTTTCTAGTGTTTTGGAAGAATAAATCACTCTAATAAATTTAGTGAAATAATCCCTTTTTTTCCTGTTGAAGTTCGTTACAGAAAGCATTTGGTCTGAAATTGTGAAACCAGTGCTGCAACAAGGTTGTATTAGCAAATGACTTAAATGAATGAAATTTGCTTTTCAGTGATGAACAGGTGATAGCTGTGTATTTCATTAAATTTTCATTCATGTTTAAAAGTGTGCGCTTCAAAATGGGCAGTTTCTGGTTTTCTTGGTAAGAGGCTAATGAATGCGAGGTATAGTTTTTGTTATGTTGAACTGACAAAGCCAGTGCCAGTCTCTCAGAGGAAGGCACTGTGTGTAGCAACTATTTTACTGCAAGAAAAATTGCCATCTGGAAAAATACCAGCCGTAGGCAAAACAGGCATGAAATACATAAGCAACAGATTCAGACCTATAAAGCCATTATGGTTTATTTTTGCTTGTTTGGGTTTGGTTTTTTTTTTTTTTTTTTTAAACCAAAGATGGCTTTTCCTCTTTGAAATGTTCTGGTTTCTGTATTTTGTTTTTTTTTTTTTTTTTTTAAACCAAAGATGGCTTTTCCTCTTTGAAATGTTCTGGTTTCTGTGTTTTATTTTTTTTAAATCTCCATAACAAATCTAGCAATGAGTTGAAAGTGCATCTGTGCGTGTTGTAAACTTGTTTAAATGTTGTTTTTGGTTTCAGTTAGTCTTGGTGAGCACGAATAACAAATCTAGCAATGAGTTGAAAGTGCACGTGTTGTAAACTAGTTTAAATGTTGTTTTTAGTTTCAGTTAGTCTTGGTGAGCACAGTATGTAAAGTAGGACTTTGTTGCTCTGCCACCACTGTCCTACAACATGTCTGCTGTCACACCCTCTCCTGTGGGAGTTGAACCTGGCTCTTAGAAGTGCCAAGGAGGCAGGGAGCTGGCAGGAGGTCGGCATCATTTCAAAGGCTTTAGTGGGCATAAAAATTAAGTATCTCCTGAGCTTTTACTTAGTGAAAGAAAAGTGGAAGTTGTGTGGTATCTTGCACTGGTAGTGATGGAACAGCTACTACTGGTACAGCTTGATAACCTATGAGCACTTTTTTTGTCCTCTCAGATGCTCAAGGCAAGACCAGCTATTATTGCAAGGAATCTTTAGATTAAACATGATAAAATGCTTTTACTAGTTAGTTAATCAGAGTATTTCATTTATACTCTGGAGGAGGATGACTTGAAGGAGCCGATAAAATGCTTTTACTAGTTAGTTAATCAGTGTATTTCACTTAGAAGGATGACTTGAAGGAGCATTTCTACTCTGCTTTCCCATCTTAGCCCTTCTTTCCAAACTGGGTTCTATTTTCTATTTCAGGAGTCCGAAGTATTTACTAGTTAACACATGCAATATAGATATATTTTTATGTATAGATAATATGCATATTTTAATATTCCAAGTAACCAGCTTAAATTAATCTTTGAAACTCTTTGGTGTATCAAACAGTTAATCTGGTATTTAAAAACATGTTTAACGTAACCATTTCAGTAATTGCAAAACGGCAGTTAAAGCTAATTAGGTACAATTTATTATTTTACATACTTTAGGACTAATTTTCATTTGTCTGATTTCCAAGTAACTTTGTAGGGTTGGAAGATGTAACTTCTTCATTTTTTTACTTGTATTTCTTGTGGCTTTACGTTCATTAGTAGTGGTTTTTAAGCAAAGTGATGTTAAGGGATGAGATCAATACATAGGACAGAATCCATTGTAAAAATAACTTTTTTTCCTTCTAACTTTGGAAAGTTCTGTAAGATTTGGGTACGGGTTAAACTGCTGGAGCTTTGTGGCCTAAGCATCTTAACAGTATTGAGTTACTGGAACTGAAGTGTCTCGGTAGAAATTGTTAATTAAAAGCAGGACTGAAACCTGCTGTGTAATTGGTATTTGAAGGTTCTGGGTATGGATGCTTCTATATGGTAGTAGACCCAGAAAAAGCTGAGACTTTTCAATATATAGTAGTATTTGGGGAGTCTTAGACCTTAAATCTGCTTAAGCAAAGACAAGTGTTGAATGGGTTTTGGGTCATTTCTGAGGTAGCTGATTAAACTTGCTAATAATGTGCGATGTGAATGTGGTCACTAATGATATCTATAGAGTATTACACTACATCTCGGGATGTAAAATTTAAATGATGATGAATCAAGCTTCAAAACTCAGATATCACCTTGGCTTTAATTCTGGCGTGAGACTTAACCTTTGGAAAGTTTTTGGAAACTTAAGAATGTAACTGTAAAAATAGATAAAGATGTTTGAATATCTGGAAATTTAAAAAGACAAAGTTGAAATTAGATAAATGTTCAGTATTTTAGCTGGAGTATATTGATAACTGCTTTATTTCAAACAAAGTAAAAGAACATACTGTGCTGGTACAGTTACATAACCTTTAATGTAATTTTATTTAATCAGTTTGCCCTGTTTAAGGTGTTTTTTAAAAAAAGTTAAAGTTGGAATTAGCAGATGATGTTAAAGGGATCCAGTGCAAGTTGTTTTTTACCAGGGATGTGAGGAAAAATGTTGAAGTATTTGCTCTTCTGTTCCTTTTTCTCAAAACTACCATTTGTTGTGTTGTTAGTAGAGACAGAGGGGAACAGAAACAGGGGACAAAGATTGCTCTGATTTCAGTAGAAGCTCATCTGGTTGGTTTCAGATCATCCTGCAGAAGTGCTGTAGCACTGATCTGGTAGTTAGTGATGAAGCGAAGGGAAGTTTGCTGAAAATTCTTGGTGCAGAGACAGAATCAGAGCTCTTTGTCTTCAGGACAAAATAGTTACATTAACTATTTTATTTTTTGGCAGGTTGTTGTGTCCACCAATATCGCTGAGACATCGTTAACAATAGATGGCGTCGTGTTTGTGATCGATCCTGGCTTTGCAAAACAGAAGGTAAATATTATTGCGTTTTCTCTTTGTAGTAGGAAAGATACTGGAATCTGGTTTGCTCAAACTCTGCTCTTTGTAAACACTGGTAGGTCTTGTCCCAATTGAAATCTTGACCTTAGTTGTTTTTATTTTTTGTTTTGTTTTTAACTTATGGTAGGTTTGCACTCACTCTGTGAACTTTAGATAGAGCAGTCCAAAACAGTGCTGTGCAGAATTCTAATTTCAAAAAGTAGAAATGTGAGGACTTTGAGAGTTCTGTCTGGAGTAGGAATTTCCTAGATAATGTGGGAAAGGTGGTTTTGTACTGTGTGTCTATGTTTGAGAATTCTCAAGTAAAACCAACAAATCATATGAAGGAAAACAAAAATGGTGATACAAGCCACCTCTTCCTTTAAGTCATGTTAGTAGAAGATTCCAGCACTAAAATAAGAAAAGAGAAATGATACTGAGGGTGGTGCTGTTTCTTGTCCTTGCACTTGTGTGTATCTTGGAACATCTGGAGATGTTCAGAACTGAAGCAGCTTACCTACACTCAACCCAATAACTAAAGAAACAATGAAACACAAATTTCTTAACCTTCATTTAGTTTTTTCACTAACTGTCCTTATAACTTGCTTTCTTAGACTTTAATACTCGCTGTATTAAATGAGTGTGCACAATGTTGTCAGCCTTTTAAAGTGTACTGTGAGTGCAGTCAATGCTTCTTCATACACAAGTTTCTGTCACCATTTAGGCTGAGGTTTTTTCAAAAGTAATTCTTCTACTGGAAGAATAGCTTCTGTAATAAGACTTTTTTTTGTACATGTTTTATACCTGTTCACACCAGGAGGTTGTTAAAACATGGACTGAAGAACATCTTCAACTGAAACTACTGCTTTTTATTTTACAGTATGTTCTTTTCCCTGAGCCCTGATGAGTTGGCAGGGCTGCTGTTTATGTAGGATGGAAATCTGACTGTGAATTCCAGCACGTGTTTTGTGTTGTGACAGTCCCTGTGTACCCTCGAGATACAGTCTCGCTTGGTCATCGGTCTGATTTCTACAGTTGTGTTCAACCTTAACGTTAGATTTTCCTGACCTCTAGAACATGATTGTTCAACTTTACAATTGTATCGGGACAGTTTGTGGTTTTGTTTTTTCCCCCCATGGAATTATTTGAGCATCAAGAGTGTGTTTAGCACTCTGTAGAACAAATTGGGCATATTCCTTCTGCCATGAAAATCTTATCTAAAAATACACACATTTAAGGAGGACGGGGAGCCTGGCAGGAGTTGTTCTTAACAAATGAATAAGAAGTAAATGCTGTTCTCTAGGCAGTTGTATTTGAAGCTTTCTGTCACCGATCCAAAGGCTTTTGTAGCCAATTTTATTTCTCCTTTCAGATACATACAACTTGTGATTTCCTTGTCAGAAGCTGTGTTTGAAAAGAAGTTTAAAGTGGTCTTTAAGGGGTTTTTTTGTTTGTTTGTTTTAGATAATTGTCTTATCCATGAGTGGTTTTCATTCTTTTCCTCCTTTCCCTCTCTGATTCCTTTCCAAATCAGGTGTACAACCCTCGCATCAGAGTGGAGTCTCTCTTGGTGACAGCCATTAGTAAAGCTTCTGCTCAGCAGCGAGCTGGCCGTGCCGGCCGTACTAGGCCAGGCAAGTGCTTCAGGCTTTACACAGAGAAAGCTTACAAAACTGAAATGCAGGTAAGATTACTTTCTCTTGGTTTGTTGTTTTTTTTTTTTTAATTGCATATATCAGACCATCTGATGGGTACAGGTAGTCGAATGCTGTGCTGCCAACCATAATCAGAGTTTAAACGATTGTGTAGTTTAAAGTGTTTGGAAGAAGGTGTTCTGATTTTTTCCTTTTTTCTCCCCTCCCCAGGACAACACATACCCTGAAATTTTGAGGTCTAACTTAGGATCTGTGGTATTGCAGCTCAAGAAGCTTGGTATAGATGATTTGGTGCACTTTGATTTTATGGATCCTCCAGGTATCTATTTCTGTTTTCTCTTGTCTACTCTAAGTCGTATGTTTTGTCTTCTGAAATATTTATTTTGGTAAATATTCTCTGTAACAACACAGGATAAATTCTTTTATGCTTCTTCACTGTTTTTATTATAATCTGTAAGGAATGTCTTCTGTTTATCCTGAAATCTAGTGCTCTGTGTCTTCTCAAAGCAAGCTTTTTATGCTTCTGTCTGCGTAACAGGTTCTAATCAAAGCGAGGAATCTACTGAACGCCCCTTACCTGCAGGCGATAAGACAAAATTATGGGCATTAGAAAATCTATTACTTGATGAGGGGTTTTTTTTTTTTTTTACTTATCACCTTGATTACAAATTCTAATTGTACATCAGTTAAGGACTGTATGTAAATAAAATTGGCTACCATTTTTAAAGCTGAATATATGTTTTGGCTCAGACTATAAAGTTAAATGTGCATGTCCCTTCTAATGGTGTTAAATGTTCATTATATACTTTAAAAGAATTAGGTCACATTGCTAATGAAAATAGATAAGGCATATATAAGTACATCAGTTGTTCTTTTTCCCCCTAAAATAAAATTAAAATTCATAATTTTTAAACTTTTACATGGCTCTGCAGAGCAATTGCATTTTGTGCTGTGCAGCATGTGCGATAGCTTAGCAGGAAGGCTTTTGGGTTTCCTTCTGTTTTCTTTGTGGGTGTAATAGACACTCACTATTAAGAGGACTTGCTTACAGGCTCAGCTTTGTGAAAGATTGTAGATGCCTAAAGTTTACACGGCTGAGATTTTAGGACTGTATCGATCTGTTTTGTATGGAACAAGGGAAAACACATCAGTGCATTGGGGAGGAAGTGATGTTACCACGATAGCGAGTATTTTACAGTGCCACTGCTGTCTGAATTCTGAAAAGCAGTAATCTTCAAATAGTCAAGCTTTTGATCCAGTTAAAAGCTCTTTTAAATAAGTTATTTCCTCCTCCCAATTAACTCATGTCTAGATGTATATAACTGAGTTGAGTAACAATTTTGTATTTGGAAGTCAGTTGAATGGAGAACGAAAAATAAGATGGCTTATGTTAGTCTGGGCTTCCTCATTTTTAGCTTGTTCAGAACAGTTTCATTAATGTGCCTACCTCAATATTATTTATTTTTTTTTTTCCTTCCAGCTCCTGAAACTCTGATGAGAGCCTTAGAGCTGTTGAATTATCTGGCTGCTTTAAATGACGATGGAGACTTGACCGAGTTGGGATCTATGATGGCTGAATTCCCATTGGACCCACAACTGGCTAAAATGGTTATTGCAAGTTGTGACTACAACTGTTCTAATGAGGTCCTATCTATTACTGCCATGTTGTCAGGTAATAGCAGGGAAAGAGATACTAAACAAAATGCACATCTTCAGTTGGGGGAAAAAATTGAGTTTTCCGCATCAAAAACGTAAACGATAGAAATATTTCTAACCAAACCAGAATCGTTTTTTAAAACGTCATGTAGGGGTTTAATCAAACATGATGGGTTTATGCAGAGACCCTGAAGTTAATTAGTTGTAATGTTAGGAAATTAACGTGCATAAAATGGTCAAACATTTTGCTTCTAACTTTAGTTAAATGTGTATATATTTGAGTTGATAAAGGGGAAAAAAATCAGGCTAATGGAACAGAACTTTCTTTTTAGGCTCATAGTCGGGACCAGAAACATCAGCTCAACCACTCTGTTTTTAAGGCAGCAAAATCTATTTTGTATTGTGCGTTCTTCTGCACTTTGATAAATCCCAGTATTTCTGAAAGGATTACAGTGTAATTTATATTAAACCATAAGCTGGTACGTGAAATGATGATACGTTTTTCAGTCATTAAGTGGCAAAGCTGAAGAACAGTCATTACTCTTAAAGGGAAGAAAGCAACTTTGGGGGAGGATGTATATTTATAAGAATTAATTTGTGTGCACAGCTGTCCTTTGCTGCTGCGTTGTGTGAATAGCATCAGAGCAGAGCTGCTTGGGGAGAGGAAAATGTTATCAAACAAGCCTTATATTTCATTTCCCAGTCATGTAGAGCTGACTTGGTTTTACAGTTAGTATCACAGGACAAGCAGCAAGATTTAGTCTGTTATGAAAACGGGGATATTCTTACTCATAACTACTCTTTGGTCTTTGAGTGTCCCATTTTACCAGGCTCTTCACACCGCAGGTTTACTGGTTACGTGTTTAACTGGGTTGAATAGAGGAAAAAAAAAATAATGTTTTAGCTAAGTGTAAATTCTGTTGCTTCAGTTTAGTCTTACGATATATTTATATGAATTTTTTTTTTTTTTAAAGAACAAGCTGAAATGTTTGTTGCAGAGTTATGATTGTTCAGACTCAGAGCAGATGGGCAGGGCAGAATCGTAATCATTTTTTTTTCATTAAATGGTAGGCTTAATTGCGGAGGTGGTGGTAGGTTGGTGCCTGTCTTTCTCTTCCCTTCCCTTCCCAATTCTGCCCCCAATCTCTACAGCAAAACAGCAAGTCTGGTATTTTTGACTGTGGATTTCAACTGTGGTCTTAGTCCTTTTTCTATTTACTTTATCCCAGACTGTGATACTTTTTTGTGTTTCAAGGCACAATTAATGTCATGATAAATAAATTTTGGGGTAAAAAACTGGGTACCGGAGAAGAGCAGAGAATAGCACTGAAGAAATGAGCAGGTTAAATGATTATACTTCATTTTGGAAGAGCAGTGGTGTCTTGCTGTGGGGTAGAAAGTGCTATTACTTATTCGAAGCAGTGAGTTAAGCCTGCGAGAGAATCATTTGGAATTTCTTATCAGTCTGAGTTTGAAATGAAAATATTTTGTATTATCTCTGTTTTCAAATGCAGGACCCCAAATGCAGGGTGTTTATTTTGACCCTGTGTTTCTGTTTTCTTTAATACATTGGTCTTTCTTGATCTGTTACTATGTGATTCGCTGTTGCAGTGTACTTTTTTTTTCTTCTGAAGTTCCATCTAGAAATGTAGCATTTTGGGGGTTTTATGGGAATTTATGAATAAAATAAAGCCACATAATACCCCACAAAAATGCCCTCATCTGTTAGGGACAGATGAGATATGCCAAGGGGTGTTCTCCTGAGGTTGTTGGGCTCAGTTACAGAAAGCTAATGTAGTCATAAGCAGTTGGAAAAATAGAACAGATTTGTAGCATATTTCTTAGAATTAATTTTTTTTAAAATTTAACCTCTTAAAAATTACATCCGCTTAAAACAAAACTGATATTATTTCTTAGAATTAATTTTTTTTAAAATTTAGCCTCTTAAAAATTACATCTGCTTAAAACAAAACTGAATTTTTTTTCCCCTCCAGTAGATCTCTAGATAAAAAGTTGAAGTTCTCTTATAACTACTTGCAACATGTTGTGAATTGGTACTGATATTACAAACCTATAAGGACGTTGACAGACCATGATTAAAGTTGGCTGCAATGCTATCTGTGGTCTTCAGTAGTCTCTGTTTGGAAAGGGAACGTTAAAACACCAGTTTTGGATTCAAGTCAGACTGAGTCAGATTTCTGTAAGAGAATATGTAATGGTAGAGAAAGCTCATCACGTGGCGACTTTAAAACTTATTTTTTTTATTTCAAGTAGTGCCAAAGGACGGTTTAACCTCCCACCACTGCCGCTACCATCACAACGTTTAGCCTTATCAATGCCTTCATTCCCATGTTTCTGTGTACCAGTGCTGATAACGATACCGTCAGGGGAGGAGGACTGGACTTTACTGGTGTGTTCTGTCTGACACTGATCAAACTCCTATTTGTTTAGACTCTGCAGTACGTTTTCAGAACTATCTTCTTTGCTCTGTCGATGGAGGCTTTCTGAGAAAGCAGATTGGCAACGCCAGCGTTTTGTGACATGGGTACTAGCTCCTGGTAGAGCTATCAGCACTGGGTCCTCAACCTTCCAGTATCCCTAGGCAACCTTGATGGCCTTCAGACTAGAGATTTTTTGCTGATTACGTATAGTTCTATTAAAATAATCAGGCGCTCTGTAGCTTTGAAAAACCCTCTTGTCTTCCAGATGTGGTTAGGTGTTGATGTACCAAATCAAGGTAGTAAACAGTCCAAGATGCAGTCGGAGGCCATCCTGCCCTGCCCTATGCTCTGTGAACTGACCTAGCTAGGCCTTGTTCCTCTATCTGTGAATGCGTGACTCATCGATATGGGCGTTTGTGTTGGGCCCATACCAACCTTGTTTAGTCCCACAGTGTTTTGTTCGCCCCACGGAAGCAAAGAAAGCAGCAGATGAAGCCAAGATGAGGTTTGCCCACATAGATGGAGATCATTTGACGTTGCTCAACGTCTACCACGCTTTCAAACAAAGTAAGTCTCGTCGCTCTTTCGGCAAAATTATTTGTAATGCTTTGTGCTGCTGGGCTTCGTTCTTGGGTTCCAAAGAAAGGGTTGGGTTTGATTTTTGAGCCATTCTAGTCCAATCTTAAATCTTTTAATTTCTTCCCCCCCCACCACTAAACTATATCAAAGAACTATTTAAATGCTACTTTCCCTTTAGGGGGGAAACATAACCAGAAAAACTAGCCAAGAGCTCCTCTAATAAACTGATGAGTATGGAGACAAGCCAGGCTTTTAAATCAATGCTGGGTAACCTTGGACAGAAGGAAGTAAGCCGTTCCTATAATTAAGAAATATTAGAAGTTTGCTATCTGACAGTAATTACAGAAAAATCTGCATAATTGGTTAGTAATTTTTCAGGGAGAGCTGTGCAGAAAATACTCTGAATTTGGAAAAGGATGTGTTCCTAGAACCAAAACCTTTCTAATCCTAACTTTCTAATATAGTAAGGAATTCTCTAATAAGGTCTTGGGGAAGGACTGAGAGGCAAAGGGGTGATGCATCAACAAGAAGTAACTTAAAACCATAGGATAAATTAAGGATGAACAGGTTGAAGCAAGGCGTTCTCTTGAAAAATGGTTGATAAGTAGCACACTTTTTTTAACAGGGACTTACCCTGGTGGGAAGTGAAAAGATTACTCTTAACTGCCAACCAGGTTAAATCAGGTGCTCCGGGGGCATTTTCCTGTAAGCAAACAAAAAAGCAACAGCCTTTTACTCTCGGTGCTCCTTTCTCTTGCAGCTTTGATTGAGAAATTTGGCACTGAAAGGTTCTAACGCCGTATCCCGTGGCAATCCAAAATAAGGGTATTTTCAGAGAAAAGGCCAAATGAGAGTATTCAAAACTGCTTAAAACAGTAGCAGAGGAACTACTACTGAACACCTGAGAATTGGAGACACCTGTTGCTTGTGTTTTCTGTTAGTTTTTTAGTTTAGGATCCAGTATGTCTTGCAGACATTGTGTGTCTGCATGTTTCTGGAAGCTCCTGCTTTTATGCTCAGGTTACTGTGGGATGGGATTATTTGTGGGAGCAAGATTTCTGCGATTCAGGATGAGAAGACAAACCCATTGCTAGTCTCTTTATCTAGAACAATATAAACCAGTTCTGGGTCACCTAAAATGCACAGTTCAAATGGCACAGAAAGTAACATGTGGTGCTTCAATTATGATTCTGCTGTATAGTGTTCAAGAGCTTTAGCATTCATACTTTACTTTAAATATATTCTATAAGATAAAGTGCAGAAATACCTTAAATTTTCCTCCAGTTATGTAACCATCCTTGTAAATGGAAAATAAGAATAGTCTCTCTGTACGAGAGATACTTGTAAGTTCTAATTTCTATTAAGGCTGGTTTTGTTGGATTATGGAACTGGCAAATCTTAGAAGAGAATCACTTGAAAAGTAACAGAATTGAGTTGGTTTCTTGATGTTAAAGGTGCAGGTGTTTGTCCTGACAGAATGGCCTGGGCTGACTCCCTTAACAGACTTCTTATCAGAGCTACCAACAGAAAACAGTCACTTGAGAGTGCCGAGTTCTGTGGCCGATGTTGTATTTTACCAGTCACCTACATTTACTTAAAATGCTGTGAGGTGCCTCACACTTTAATATTAGTCTGTACAGCTCGTAACTGTTACTTGAATGCTTAATTTAAGGAAGCTTTGGTTTCTCAAATACAACATAATTACGTGCAGTCTCCTTGGGTGTTCACTGCACACTACAGCTAAGGATTGTGCACTGTTCCTTCCCGTCAGTTATGTTTCATACTGCAGGTTTGGAAGATGATTTTTCTAGTTGCACAATGAGATTATTATTATTTTTTTAATGTGTGAAGTGCATTGGTGTGGTATTTCAGCAGAACATCACTGATTGTGTGTATATTCTGGTGGTGGTGGGGAAAGCTAATTTTGTTTTGTCCTGACCACGTGCTTCCTGAATAGAGAACAATTGGGGCAATTTATCTAATGCAAGAAATCAACTGATTAAACTAAGAGCTGTTGTCATTTATAAAAGTTTACGGGTATTTTTTTCTGCTTCATCTGACTGATCGATTGGTTTAGTTGCTGTTTTATTTACTTGTTCTAATTGGCCGAAATACTAATTTTTGATTCATGTTTTTAATGTTGCAGATCATGAGTCGGTTCAGTGGTGTTATGACAACTTCATTAACTACAGGTCCCTGATGTCTGCAGACAATGTACGCCAACAGCTGTCACGAATCATGGATAGATTTAATTTGCCTCGTAGAAGCACAGACTTTACCAGCCGAGACTATTACATCAACATCAGAAAGGCGTTAGTTACTGGGTATTTCATGCAGGTACGTCTGTGTTCCTGGAGGGAATGTAGTTACAGAATCACAGAATGCCATGGGGTTGGAAGGGACCTCTGGAGATCATCTAGTCCAACCCCCTGCCAGAGCAGGTCCACCCAGAGCAGGTTGCACAGGAACGTGTCCAGGTGGGGTTTGAATGTCTCCAGAGAAGGAGACTCCACCACCTCTCTGGGCAGCCTCTTCCAGGGCTCTGCCACCCTCAAAGGAAAAAGAAGTTCCTCTCATGTTTAGGTGGAACTTCCCATGTTCCAGTTTGTGCCTGTTGCCTCTTGATCTGTCACTGGGCACCACTGAAAAAAGACTGGCCCCATCCTCCTGACACCCACCCTATAAGTATTTATAGGTGATGATCAGATCCCCCCTCAGCCTTCTCTTCTCCAGACTGAAAAGACCCAAGTCCCTCAGCCTTTCCTTGTAAGGGAGATGCTCCAGGCCCCTCATCATCTTCTTAGCCCTCTGCTGGACCCTCTCCAGCAGTTCCCTGTCCTTCTGGAACTGGGGAGCCCAGAACTGGACCCAGGACTCCAGTTGGGGCCTCACCAGGGCAGAGCAGAGGGGCAGGATGACCTCCCTTGAGCTGCTGGTCACACTCTTCCTGATTCACCCCAAGTTATCGTTGCCTTCTTGGCCACAAGGGCACATTGCTGTTCAGTGTTTCATGTGTTTACTTGGCTTTTAATATAAATATCATTATTATAACTTATCAAGACTGTATGCATGTTACTTAAATTACAGCCCCAGGTTCCCATTGGCCTTTTTGGCCACAAGGGCACGTTGCTGTTCAGTGTTTCATGTGTTTATGTGGCTTTTAATGTTAGTATCATTATTATAACTTATCAAAACTTTATGCATGTTACTTCAATTATATATGGCTAACTGTATTGCCACTTAGTCTTTGTCGGTCTGCTTGGTGATGACTCTAGTACATTCTTTAGCCAAATCTTATTTGGAAGAGAAGCTGTAGGTGATTTTATTGGTGTCAAAACACTGTTTCTGGTGTGACCAGTCAGGAATTGACGCTAACTTCTGCACAGCTGAGGGAGTGACTTCATTAAACATTTCAAAGTAACTGCAGCTGTAGGTGATTTTATTGGTGTCAAAACAGCTTCTGGTGTGACCAGTCAGGAATCGACCACTAACTTCTGAAGAGCCGAGGGAGTGACTTCATTAAGCATTTCAAAGTAATTATAGGATGTGTAGTTTTTAAATTATTTATAATCTGATACGAACAGGGCAAGGATAGTTGTATATAAATATGAATTATATGTAAACCTTACAGAAGGAGAACATTCTCTTTTGCATACTTTTCCATGCTTATATTTCACTTTACACTGCCTGGAGTGCTGCCGCAGGGAGGTGTCTGAACTGGACACATCACTTGTTGTCCTCTTGGTCCAGCCCATACGTGGAATTCCAGGTGTGAGCACGTGTGAGATCGTGTCTGCACGCCAAGCACCAAGGTCTAGGGGCAGTACGTAGCGGAAGCTGATTATTCAAACTCTTAAAATTTTAAAAATTCATCATGGAGAAACCAGGAGCAGCTGTTGTTCTGAAATACTTCTCATTGACTGCCTTATATTATACTTCAGTAATTCCCCGGTGTCCTAAAAACAATCATAACATGTTACTGTCCTATTAAAGGCCTGTGGTTGATGTCAGACAGTGCAGGCCTCTATTAACTATTGAAATTACCTCATTACCTAATTAGTACTAAGTAATGTAAATTTGCCTTCCTTCAGTTGTGTGTCAGTGACTGGTAAACGGGGAATTTCTGCTGGTGACATATCTTTTTATCTTTAATTTTAAATAAAACCCAAATTCCAGTAAATCTGCCATCAACAGGCAAAGGGAATAATAAAATACTATAAAGCAGCCAATGATTCTGTGTATAGAAGAGCTTCTGGAAGGGTAGATACTGACGAGAAGTTAAGTCTTATAAAATCTTTGTGCTGTGTCCCTGGCTGCTTCTCGAACCAGGGGTTCGGAGGGCTGCAGCACCTCTGCTGTGAGGACAGGTTTGCAGGGACCCTGCCATTTATTTAATTTTGTAAACCTTGGATTGAGTTGGGTGAAATTAAGCCCAAATGGTTCCAGACAGCGCACTGTTACTCTCCATTTAAAAGAGCCTGCGTTGGCTCCCCAGACTGGAAATAAAGTATCGGTGTAATCTCTCAAATCTGGGGTGAAAAGATTTGTAGACTATTGAAATACTTTGTTCCACTCCTAAAACATGGCCTGGATATTAATGTCATAAAATACAGGAGAGAAGCAGACTCCAAAGCAGTAATTTGTTATTAAGGAGGTGTTCTGAAAATTTGAGGTTGCTATTACTTTAGAAGTCCTGGATTTTAATCTAGTGGATGGAATTTGTCTTTAACTGTGAGGGGGGAAAAAAAAAAGAAAAAGAAAAAGGTGAGATATACCAAGGAATTGAAGAAAAAATGTTTAGTGCAGAGTCTATACTAAAGGAAAGCAGCTAATGATGGTCTGATTAAAAACATCTTTCAGCCATTGTCCATTCTGCTTAATCTTTTTATAGTATTTTTGTTTGTGTGTATATTTGTAATGAAATAAGCACTGAGGTCATCTCGAACTCCCAGTATCCAGAGGTCAACGGTAGTCCCCTGCTCTGTGAGATCACCTGTTCTCACTGAGGATCTTTTTCCAGGGATAACTCCCTGCTTTACCAAATCTGAATGAGCTGGATGTGGGAGCATCTCGGTGCGCCAGGCGTCACTCCCTCTCACAGAGCCAGCAGCTTGGGCAGAGAGAGGTTAATTGATTTTTGCCAAGGTCACGGCAGAAGCGTGTCCCTCAACCTCCATTTTCCAGCTCTGAAGCTCACGCTCTAACAAGACTCTTCTTATTTCTGACACACTCAACTTCCCATTCTTCCTGGGCTGACGGATTTTTTTTCCAGCCTTGCTGTGTGAAAAGATGAGGAGAATAATGAGTGCATTGGTAAAATAACTACCGAAACACTGCGCTAATAAAAAATAGGGAGGATGGTGACACGGTGGCTTTTGGGTCCCCCAGTGGATCACAGTCTGTGTGACGTGACAAACCTGTCTGTAGATCCTCCCTTCCCATTGCTTTTGTTCTGATAAGGAGGCTTCTCTTTGGGGTGACAGCTATTTTTGTACGTTGCTCCAATGGTACATCGGAATATGCGCTTACCGTGGCAGTCGGCAAAAACATCTGGCATCTTGATTGTGTCTATAAAAAAAACCCCCCTGAATAGTTGAAGTGGCCAAGTCATGTACCAAATTTAGACGAGGTTTGAAAGTTGGTATGTTCTGTGTAGAACACTTAAATGAAGTGATTTTAAAGCTGACTGTTAAAAATTGCCTGTGGTAATGAAATGATGTCTTTTTTTTTTTTTCACTTAGGTGGCACATTTGGAACGGACAGGGCATTACTTGACAGTAAAAGACAACCAGGTGGTGCAGTTGCATCCCTCCACCGTTCTCGATCACAAACCGGAATGGGTGCTCTACAACGAGTTTGTCCTCACCACAAAGAATTACATCCGGACATGTACAGACATCAAGCCGGAATGGTAAGTCCTGACGTGGCCATGACCTGCTCTGAACCTCTCTTCTGCTTTCTCCTGGAGCTGAGATTATCTCAGGGGCATGGACTTGAGATCTTGGAGGCGACTGAAGGTTTTCTTTGAGGATGGTCATTTCTGTTTGTGGGAGTTGTGTGTAAAACTGGGATGGCCAGGCCCTGTGTGCGGAGAGATGCTGGACTTAGAACCAGTAACGCCTGGTGGGAAGGAGATGCTTGGAGATGCTTGGTTTGGGGGTGTATCCGAGCACCCCCTTAAGAGACACTGGTAGATCCCTCTGCACCTCTCTTGGCAGCAGGGGTCTGTGTTCTTTCTTGAAGGATCTGAACAGGACTCAGTCCTTTCTTAAAATACGAGGGAAGGAGGTGGTACTAGTGATACAACCTGCTACGTTGTGATATTTGTTAGTCAGTAGAGCACATACCAAGGAATTAGAGGCCCCATCCTCCACAGACGAGCAGGGATCTGCGTTGTCTTGCCCGTCTTCAAGGCTGTACTTAAATTTAACTGCAAAAATGGAAGCTCCGGGGACACAGGAGGCTCTTCAGCTGCTGTTGGAATCGTGCTGTTGTGCAGAAAGAGTTTAGAGATTCGTTAGCCAGAAAACACACCATATATTTATATATATATATAGTCCATAGTGTTTTAGCGGAAAATAAGTGTTAGAATCCCATCTAGGAAATCTTTTTCTGAACAAGCTGTGTGTTGCCTGGAGCTGCATCCTATGGCTTTGGGTGCATTTTTAAGCTTGGGATGGCTGAGGCTGAGTGTGTGAGCTCCAGGTGGACTGGTGTGGCTGGTGGACGTGGAGCGGTGGGTCTGGCTGCATGGGCTGCTGTGGCGTGTCCTGAGGGACGTGTGACAGAGCAGGAGCATCTCACTCCACTCAGGCACCGGCTTTTTTGCTTGGGACTGGGATGTAAACGTGTACGAGTGTGTGTGAGTGTGTGTGTGTGAGCTCCCGTTCCTCTTAGAGCAGCAGAATGAGCTCCAAGGAACAGCTGATCCTTGTTTCCCTCAGCTGTGGAACTTCTGTAGGATGCGTCTTAAAAGTTGGGAGTATTAGTAACCAAACTTTTCCTTTTTTGACAGGCTGGTGAAAATTGCCCCTCAATATTATGACATGAGCAATTTTCCACAGTGTGAAGCAAAGAGACAGTTGGATCGCATCATTGCCAAACTTCAGTCCAAGGAATACTCACAGTACTGAATTTATGCTTTGAACTGAAGTTATTCAGAGGACAGCTTTAAGAGATGAAAAGGATTCAAAGTTCCGAGTTGTGCTCTTCACTTTGGTTCAATAATGGCCTTTATTTTGAAAGCTTTTTAATTTTTTCTTTACAGTAAATATTCCATTCTGATTTCATAAATTAAACATTTATGCCTCCCTTTTTGTGTTGACACTGTAGCTCATACTGGAAAAGCTGATCAATGTTTTGCAGTTTATTGAAAGTAGTTCTATATATAACAATGTTATAAGCATTTCTTTAGAAATGGTTGAAAATGCTTCTAAAAAAAAAAAATGTGATTATCGACCATGGTATGCATGATCGTTGTAATTGTTGACATTCCTTTTAGAAGTTGTGAAATGTTACAACTTGTGCTTATGTAGACACAATCTTCGGCTCCAGTACGAAGGTACTGACTTCAATAAAGTCTATTTATACTAATTTTGTGCCACGGTATGTCAGTATTTCTATTGGTTTTGATCAAAACATGAGAAGGCATTTAGTCTCACGTTGAAACTGCCGTTTATTGATGTGGCAGTAGTTAATTATTTTAATATTAAAAGTGCGGATGCTTAAGCAGCACCATTACGGTGCCATCAGTAGATACATACAGTGTTGATCCCGTGCAAACTTGTTGGAATTATGTAGGAAGTTGTTTGAAAAAATGCAATGCATGCAGAGTATTTTTTTTGGAAAATGCTTTCTTCAGACATACTCCTAGATATTTCTTGGACAGAACTGTAGTCGTGTCCTGTGAAGTGTCTGTTGCCAGTTAGGAATGACCCTGCTGGGCAACGTTCAGATACGGTGTAAGGGGACACAAACAACACCCTGAGGTGACATTTCATTGCACTGTTGTAGTTCTGTAGTGATTTCTAGTGAAATAGGACTTGACAGCATTTTTCAGTTTGGGAAAGCTAATCCCGTGTGGAATTCATAGTAAGGTTTGATCAGAGGGGCTGGAGCCCCTCTGCTGTGAGGACAGGCTGAGAGAGTTGGGGTTCTTCAGCCTGGAGAAGAGAAGGCTCCAGGGAGACCTTAGAGCCCCTTCCAGTCCCTCAAGGGGCTACAGGAGAGATGGGGAGGGACTCTTGATCAGGGAGTGGAGCCATAGGATGAGGGGGAATGGTTTTAAACTGAAAGAGGGGAGATTTAGATGAGATCTCAGGAAGAAATTCCTTCCTGTGAGGGTGGTGAGACCCTGGAACAGGTTGCCCAGAGAAGCTGTGGCTGCCCCATCCCTGGAGGGGTTCAAGGCCAGGCTGGATGGGGCTTGGAGCAACCTGGTCTGGTGGGAGGTGTCCCTGCCCATGGCAGGGGTTTGGAACTCCATGATCTTTAAGGTCTCTTCCAACCCAAACCATCCTATGATTTCATGTATTTGGTCAGATTTCAGGTTTTCCTCTCCTGCTGTAGGGCTGGAGCAGGAGTAGGTTCTGCTCAGAGAGCTGGGAACTCACCTCAGTGAGACCAGTCTTAAAGCACTAGTATTTGGAGTATCCTATTTACATCATAGCAGTTGGCTAGAAAATTAGTCGGAATCAAGTAATTTGAGGATTTTTGTCCAATTCCAACTTTTTTTTTTTCTTTTTCTAAATTGCCAGTTGGATGACGGGGAGTGGAGAAGTTTTGAAAACTTTTTTGTTAGTGATGAAAACAGTAGTGTGGAGAAAAATGTGTCTGAAGATAAAAAATCGAGTAGGACTCAAATTTATATTTTTTTTTCCCCAAACACTGCGGGATGTGTGAGTCTGCCCCACGTTTGATGAGGGACAGGGGGCTATTCCCTCCCCACTTCAGGTGTTGTGGGGTGGGAACTGGCCTTTCCTGCCCTGTGCAAGAGTTTTCAGTAGGAAGGAGGGAGGTTGACTCTTGAATTGGCTTCAGTTTCCTGACTCGTGGGTACAAAAATTTTTATTTAAAACATAAGGATCCTGGGCAACTTGAGCAATTTGATTCCAAACTGGTGCTGCTGAACATAGGAATGTTTGTTCTACAAACTCTGGGGTGACTGCAGATCAATGTGGGGGGTTTCATGCTGGGGGGCAGAGTGGGGGGACTACTTTGTGTAGTGCCAAAAAGCAGCTGCCCCCCAGGTAAGAACGTCTCTGGTCTCCGTGTGCAGCCGTCAGTAACTGGTGTAGAACCACAGTCCATACGACTGTCCCAGTATGGAGAGGTCCACCACTTCCCAGTGGGAAATCCCTGGAGGACCCCAGAACCAGCTGGTGGGAACCCCAGCAGTTTTGGTTCTTGTGCAGGGGGGAGCAGATGGTGGTGGCTGGGAGTGGGTCTGAGCACGGGACACACTTTGGCCTGGTTTTATTTCTTTTTGTTTTTTTTTTTCTCCCTTTTCTTTTTTTTAAATTGTCATCCCCATAACCTCAGCTTGGGCTGTGACAGCCAACCTGGGATCTTTCACTCTCTCTGCCACCAGGAATGCAAATGCTCCAGGCCAAATTAATGTCCCCTGACAGCTGGGAGACCTTGCCATCTGCCAATTAAAGTCTGTGACACCTGTGCAGTCCACCTCAATAAAGGCACTGGGGGCCACCGGTGTCACTGGTTTAATTGGCAGGCTGTGGGGTGTCCTGGCTGTCACTGGGGCTGGTGTCCTCTGTGAGCTGGGGATTGAGGAGGGACTGAAGCTCCAACATCAGGGAAATCCAGTGGATTCCAGTGCTTGGGTGACACTTGGTGGTGTCATTGTGATTCCATGGAAAACACTTCTCCTGCTGGAGAGCTGAGGAGCAGAGAGCGCTTGTGGTGCTTCAGTGGAGGAGCAAAGCCTCTTCTCACACGTCACCCTCCTTTCTCTAACGATTTTTGGGTTTTGAGTGTCATTTTAGAGCCCTACGGCAGTGGAAGGGAGCACCTTCTCTAAGAAGTAACCGGCCCTCGCTGAAGGACTAGTGAAAGGGAGAGCGTGGCTGCTCAGAGAAAGGTATTTTCTAGGTCCTAGAGGGAAACCGTGTCTGGAACCCCCTTTTTAACCACAGTTACCTCAGGGATACAGCAGGTGTGTGCGGAATAACTCACATTAGAGAATCGCCTGGGTTTTTCCTAAGTTTAGCTTTGAAAGGTAAAACCTCATTCCCGTTTGGTTTTTTTTTTTATTTTTCCTGGTGGGGAAAAAAAAACCCATCAAAAAAGGTTGCCCAGAGAAACGAGACCAAAAAGGTGTGGAAGGAAGCACCGCTTTATGTAAGACTGCATGAAGGTCACTGCCTTAGAAGGGTGAAAAAGCCAAAAAACCCCCGCAGCCCTGCTCGGCATCACAGCTTGTGTTTGGCTGCTTGTACTGCAGGCAACGGGGAAAGTTGGAAATTCCAAAATATCCAAGAGTTTGCTCATGTCAAGTAGAAATTCAGCTTTCCCATGTGGGGTTTTGGGGTTTTTTTTTTACCTGCTGGGCTGGGGAGCGAGAGATCCCGAATAAAGCCCATTGATTGCTCCAACACCAACTCCAGCTCTTCCCTTTTCCGCTGCTGCTGGTGGGGGGGTGAGCACACTGAGTTCGGAGGGAGGGATTGCTCCTTTGGGATTAGTTGGGGACCTGCTTTGGAACAACCTGAAAGGAAAAAAAAAAAGCTTTGGTTACTTAACAGTGATTTTTTTTTTTTTTTT